CAGCTTCCTCTGGGCTAGGAAATATAAATTGAAAAAAGTTGTTGCTTAATTCCCTTACCTCAAGCGAGTTCCCCAGTCGCCAAGCTTGTGCCATTTCCCTTTTTAACACCTATCATATGTGCCCGTCTATCACCCACAATCTTCTCAAATAGGCTGCGGCGGCATTCATCTTCCCCTATTCGAACATCTTGATCTGCAATGTCTATGACTGCGGCTTCCTTCTCTGATAAGGAAAACATCTCCATCGGCTCCTCCAATTCCGTTGCACTAGACTCCATCTCTGAATAGCAAAACAAGCCCTACTCTAACAAATAGCTCAAGAAAACCGATAAACAGTACCACTCGAACTCAGCACCACTAGTATGAAACCCTAATCTCCGATGAAAGCTCCCATAAGAGAGATGAAGCTCCCATTAGAGAGATTAATTGATTGTTTGATAACAATTTCTTATAATTAAGTTATAAATATATATTATGCATAGAAAAGTAGCACAAAATAATGTAAATAAATAAATTTTATATTTAATATATTCTGTGTAAAAGATTGACCAGAGAATAAAAATTATAATATTCATAACATGCAATTTTTAGATTAAAAAAATAAACATAAAATTGGTGTTTTATGGGTTTGAGTCATAAAAAAATGGACCAACCATTAATTTGAGGTTTGAAAGATAAATTCTGTCAATTCGAGACCCAAAAGACCTGAAACTATCAATTTTGGTACTAAAAGAATAAATTTATCAATTCGGGTATTAGAAATATTAAACTATCAATTTCATATTTAAATTATATGTCAAATATGTATAAAAAATGAAAAGATAAATAAAAATATAAGCAAAATTTGATCGCCACGCCAGTTATAAAACATACAAATAAAAAGTAAAAATTATCGATATTGTTGGTTCGGTGAAAAATGTCGGTTCATATGTGCATCGGATAACTTAACATTTTATCCTATCGCAACAAAGTTTATTGATAGGAATTGAGGACTTTCTGTTTAAAACTTCCAACTCAGATACGCTGTAGATTTTTGTTAATGGAGATCATCTATCTTGTCGAGATTGCTTGTCAAATGCCGAGGAGGTCGCCGAGCCAGGTCGCACACTGTAAGATGCTGCAGGCGTCCCTGTCGGGTCGTGCGGTCGCAGGTCTACTGCATCGTGCGTAACTACCTTTGGGGATGTCGGGTCGCGCTTGGAGCTCGCAGTGGCCACAGGTCGCGCGTCTCAACCGTCCGGGTGGTGCGCCTCGATCCTCTGGTGGTCGCTTCCTTCGGTGTTGGTTGATCGTCGGTGGATGAGGTGATTAGAGGTTGTATATATTTCTCTGGGATGGATGAATATATGACCCTCAGATGTCTATATATGACTTTGTACCTATTTTGATTTGTCGGGGTGGAAGGCTAATCAGATTCCCAAACCTCACACCAACACACGTTTTTTCTTCTCTTTTTTCTTGCTTTTGATTTGGCCTATCAGCCTTAGGAACTGAGAAAAGGGCATTGGTATCTTATGTTGGGAGATGAGAAGGAATGGTGTATTTATAAGCTACAATAGGGACCCTAATGAGATGCTAAATATAAACTCTCCAAGTATGGGACTGACTGAGGGCCAAGCCCACTCCGCTCATACTCGAATAATATTAAAGTCACTATATTAGTACTATTGAACTCCTCATTTAGCGCCCGAATTACAAATGGTTAATTCCCAGTTAATTGCTCGAATTATCTCCATATGTTTAAGATTTAACATTTGTCGATTAATCAATTACTGACAAATTAACTAATCGACATCTCCATCTAAAATTAGTACCACTCAGTTCATTCTTTTTATGCCGAAAACTAATTTTGCCTGCAGGGCTTCAAATAATAAACCTTCATGAGCTAGGGACATTATCAACTCAACATACCGGGACACAGTGACCGTAAATAATCTCTACAGCGCATCATGTACTCTACCCTTACTTAGCAATGTATCTAGTTTGTTGGCCTAACATAATAAGCTTCATCCTTGGTAAATCAGATAAGCAGGTTCTGAATACATATGTCTGTTTATATTATCTTACATGTTAAGAGAACACAACAATTACTGAGGTCTAGATTATTTACTTGGTCATTGTAAAATAATCTTATTCTCTGTTGGACATATTTAACCATATTATTCTCCAATGTAAAATAATCTTATTCTCTGTTGGACATATCTTAAAATAATCTTTTTGTTCGACATATTTAACCATATTATTCTCCAATGTAAAATACAAGAACAATGTTCGCATAAATAAATAAACTACAAACATGCACTTGACTAAAATATGATCTTTATTCAAAATGGTATTGTCATAAACTGAAATCAAAGGTTTACAGTATACCCTAACATATATAAATATAAAATATAAAATACATCTACTTTAAAATTTTCAACTAATAGTTATAAATAGTTCGTGTTTCGAAATTGATAAATTTCAATTCTCAAATTGATAGTTGACCCCTTTTTCAGGTCCCAAACAGATATTAACCGAAATATAAATTGATAGTTTTGCAACTTTTTGGATCTTTAATAGAATTCATATTTCTAAACTTGCACCCAAATACAAAGAAATTTTGAGCCCTCCACGCGAAACCCTCTCCCAATTCTCTCTTCAAAACCCGTCCCCAAAATTCGATCTCGCCGCCTTCCTCCGCGACGGCTTAGCTCGGCCAGGGGTCGTCTTTGACTGCCTGGCCTACTCCCGGTGTTTCACGATCTCGATAGTGTCGATGTTTGCGTGGATTGTGGTGGTCTGGTTCTTTAGTCGCTGAGGGAGTCTCGTTGGGAGGTGGCTTGCCCGGCCGGTGTTCGACGGTCGATTGGTGGAGCTTTAGTCAATTGGCGGTGGTGCCCTAGCTCGCGGTGGGCTGCTCCTTCTTGGGTCCTGTTATTAGGGCTGAGGGGTTGGGTTTTTCGATGGGGGCTTCTCCTTTTCTGTGCCACTGGTCTTTGGCAAATGGTGGTGGTGTTTGGATTCGTGAGAGCCGGGTTGTGGGGTTGGGTCCCAGTTGCTGTGCCGGTCTGGTGCGGTTGTTGGTATTGAGGGACTTGGCCAACTGCGCTTATCCTTTGTCGGCTAGTGGTGTTAGACGGCGGGGGGTTGGGTCCTATCGAGCTCGGCTGGTGGTGCTAGTTAAGCTCGGTGGGGCTGGTTGGGGCTCTCTCGGTTAGAGATGGGTCGATGCGGGATTGTTTCGGGGGTTGAGGGCACCTGCTGTATAGGCGTTCGTGCAGTTTTGGCAGCGATTCTCGGGCTCGAGCTTTCTTTGAGATTAGTTCGGTTCGTAGGGGAAGGGCCCCGTGTTAGCTTAGAGTTTGTTTTTCTATGTTTTCCTTTGTTGCGTGTTTGTAGTGTTTGTAGTGTTTGTAGTGTTTTTGTTGTTTTGGTCTTCGTGTTTTTGGTTTGGGCCGTTGGCCCCGGTGGCCTGAGCGTAGCCTTTATTCTCCTGTTGGGAGTTTACACTCGGATATTACCCTGTTGGGGTCTTTTTATTTTTGTGCTTTTTTGGTATTACCCTGTTGGGGATTTTTATTTTTGTGTTTGTAGTGTTCTGGTATTCTAGCATTGCTAGCTGGTATTCGGAATAGGTTGCATTGGTTGTATGTGTAACCTCTCATTTCCGGTCTTTTTATTTTTGTGCTTTTTTGGTATTACCCTGTTGGGGATTTTTATTTTTGTGTTGGTAGTGTTCTGGTATTCTAGCATTGCTAGCTGGTATTCAGGATAGGTTGCATTGGTTGTATGTGTAACCTCTAATTTCCCTGGCTTCGGGGCTTGTTTGTGTTCTTTGCCTTTTTGGCCTTTTTATGAGTATATTTATGCCGTTGGAAAAAAAAAAAACTTGCACCCAAATTAATAAAATATAAAAAAAAATAAGTAAATGAATATCAAATAATATAAAACTATTTATTTATATTTTTTGGGTGCACACAGAAACTTAAAATCTTTAGGGTAAATTAATTTTTTCCATTCAAACTATAGCGATTTTCACGGCTTGCCGTATCAACTATTTTTCTTTAAATAAAAGCAGCCATACGAACTCCACGTTTTATTTATCTTGCCACATAAACATAATGTAAAGTGATTTTGACTACAAAACTCTAATTTCCGAAGGCATTTTAGGAATTTTGTATAGTATTAAAAAATAAATAAAATAAAGGAGGTGTAAAGGGGAGTTTGGGGGATATACCTTACCAGATGGTGGAGCCATGTCCGTTCAGAGTGCCACAGCCCGTCCTCCATGTGCAACTGGAATACGGTATGGTAAGGGATAAGTCGAGGACTTGCCTCCCCAGTTGCAGTCGCCACTCATCCCACGTAGTAGACCGCCGACAGAAAGCGTCGCCCTCATAGTGTGGTCGTCGACCCGTACATGGTTCGATAATATGCATTCATCCATCTCCATCTATGCTGAATGGAGCATTCATCTATGCTTTGGAGTGGACACTTCACCTTCTTCATGGTCGTCGAAGACTTGCTCGGCTACGCCACCGGAGCTGCCGGCGTCCTCCACCGTCACCTCCCGTTCGCAACAAAATTCAATGAGATCAGTTGCGCGCACATTAAGGCGTGTTTCATTCAACACGTCGAGCTCGTCGTGGGCTTTATGGCAGGCTTCATCGGGCAGGAGCCGCTCGACACGTTTGACCTCGCCCACGTCCGTGAGACATCCAATCACCTTGCGATTGTGCATACAAAAAGCTCACCCCACACAACACTCCCAACCCCACATCCCTTAGCCTCTCAAGCCTGGTTAGGATCACTAAGTCGAGATTGAGCCTATTCCTCTCCCCCAGTTCACAACAATTTAAAGATGGCTTAGCTAGTGAGAGGGCCTCCTCGACTGGCCAATCCCCAACCGTGCGGTCGAGAACATCCCCAAATTGACCTAAATCGATCGCGATCTCAACATGGTGTGAGAGGCCTATTTTGGCCAGGCTGTGAGGATTTGCATCAACATAGCCCCGGACGAGCAGACGTCGAATTTAGTCTGAAGCATGCCTGAAGGTATGTTGCAGTTGCAGATACCAGGGTTAGTGAATGGACGATGGCCTGGTCAACAATCGTCGCGCTGAACGTCGAACCGTTTCTACCTAATCGGGCGCCGGATGTGGATATGTGAGATGTCTGTGGGCTGAGTGTTGGGTTGAGACTGAGAGCGGGGTGCCGAAAACGACAACATTGCTGATAGAAGGTGCAACTGCCGTTTCGAGGAAGATGACTGTGATGAAGATGTGGTCATCGACCCTAGCGAGCCCGAGGACGAGTCCTACGAGGATCTCGAGAATTGGCACAAAAACGGGCTAGATTAGTCGCAAATCCAAGAATATTGGCCCACTTATAGGGATTGGCCAAGAGGTTGTGAGAAGAGATCACGAGCACGCTCGAAGAGGCGCAAGGCTAGGCGTGCAAAGAAG